AACCCGGGCCACACGCATGTGCCTGACATGTTTAAAAATTTAAAAAAAATTTTTTTAATTGTAGTTGGACAGAATACCTTAATTTATGTATGTATGTAAGTATGTATGTGTGGTGCTGAGGATTGAACCCGGGCCTCACAAGTGCTAGGCGAGCACTCTGCTGCTGAGCCACAACCTCAGCCCATGTTTTAAAATTTTGAGACAGGGTCTCACTAGGTTGCTGGGGTGAGCCTTGAACTTGCAATCCCCCTGCCTTAGCCTTGCAAGTCACTCGGGATTAAAAGTGTGTGCCACCATGCCCAGCGGGATACTTATCTTTTGACCAAACATCTTGGTGATTCTATATCATCATTAAGGAACCTGTTTTTTGGGGGGGGTGGGGAGGAGGAAAGGGGGCTATTTTCTGAATTTGGAAAATGGATTCATTTGGTATTCTTACTCAAATTCTTTTTGATTCATCATTCCAGCCATTTTATTTGCTAGTCTTTATCATACCTTTATTTTGTTTTTATTTTTTTTTATGTGCTGCCAGGGATTAAACCCAATGTGTCATGCATGCTAGGCAAGTGCTCTACCACTGAGCCACAACCCGGTCTTACCTAGTCTTTAATTTTTTGTCAGACTTTGGCTTTAAAGAAACCATTTTTTTGAGACAGGGTCTTAATATGTTGCTCAGACTGGCTTCAAATTTCTTTAAACTTCAATTAACCCTTCTGCCTCAGCTTCCCAAGTAGCTTGAATTACAGGTGTGTGCCCCAGATTTTGGCTTTATTATGATGACCTCAGGTTCCAAAAAGTAATTTGGTCTTCATCATTATCTTTTCAATATATTTCCATTTTTGGACTTTGCCTGGGGTCAGCAGTGAATTTTTTCCTTAGTTGGGCCACGTAGATTTTCTGAAAGTCATCCTGCAGCTTTGATGCTCTGCTTATGGACATGTTATTCAACTTCTTGGAGATTTCTTGCTGTTCTTCATTGAAACAGTGTTGCACATTAACTCATTTACTGTCAGCATCTTCTTCCCCGAGGCTAGTGTTTCCCCATCCATCCTTATTATTTTTGGCTTCTCCTCTTTCACAACTTTCATTCATGGAATGTAATCTTTAGCATCTAATTCTCCATATTCATGCACTTTTGTTTTATTGAGGCCTCTGTGGGTTTACTCTGAAATTTCTTTGCAACATCTGAGGATTTGGAAGAATGGAATCAAAGTTCCATCAGATATCATCACTTTCTTATCTTTGTGTTTTTTATTGGACCAGGTCATAAGGAAGCTCTTCTAGTCATGGCTAGAGGACACTGAGTTATCTTTTTTACAGCATTGGTTCTTACTGTTATGACCTCCCCAGAATGGTTGGTTATAGTCATAGGCAATGACTGAAGGATCTCTGAGACTACTGGGTGATAAGATTCTTGTTCAGCAAACAGAAAGATTCTTCTTCTTTTTATTTATTTTTTGGTGTGCTTGCAGAAACTTTTGCCCAAAGGCATAAAAGCCAGAAAACTCATGAATTTCTACCAACTTGGAGATAAGATTCTCAAGCATCGTCTTCATTTCCTATTTTGCCAGGTGTGGCACATGCCTATAATCCCAGCCACTCCAAGGCTGAGACAGGAGGATCTTGAGTTCAAAGCCACCTCAGCAACAGCGAAGTGCTAAGCAACTCAGTGAGACCCTGTCTCTAAATAAAATATAATATAGGGCTGGGGATGTGGCTCAGCGGTCAAGTTTCTCTGAGTTCAATCCCTAGTACCCCACCCCTCCAAAAAAAAAAAAATCCAATTTTTCTTTTAGCTGCTTCAGTGTCTTTTGTGTAAAACATTGGGGAACATGAATCAAGCAAATAGCTGTAAGTTTTCAAGTGAACAGGAGAAAGTTAACACCTGGGTTTTTTTTTTTTTTTAATATTTTTTAGTGTTGATGGACCTTTATTTTATTCATTTTTTTATATGTGGTGCTGAGAATTGAACCCAGTGCCTCACACATGTGAGGCAAGCGCTCCACCACTGAGCCACAACCCCAGCCCCTACACCTGGGTTTTAATCTTTTGTTTCTTTGACATTTTCTTCTTCTTTGGTATTGGGGATTGAACCCTGGGATACTTTACTACTGAGCTATTTCTGCAGCCTTTTAATTTTCATTTTGAGACAAGGTTTTGCTAAGTTGAGAGGCTGTCCTTGAACTTGTGATCCTCCTGACTTAGCCTCCCAAGTTCCTGGGATTAAAGGTGTATACCACCATGCCTGGCTTTTTTTGGGGGGAGGGGGCGGGTAACTGGGAATTGAACTCAGGGGCATTCGACCACTAAGCCATATTCTCAGCCCAGCCCTATTTTGTAATTTATTTAGAGACAGGGTCTCACTGAGTTGCTTAATGCCTCGCTGTTGCTGAGGCTGGCTTTGAATTCGAGATCCTCCTGCCTTAGCCTCACGATCCTCCTGCTGGGATTACAGATGTGCCCCACTCATGCCTGGCTTTTAAAGGGTTTTTATTTTTGTTTTTTGGTATGGGGGATTGAAGCCAGGGGTACTCTACAAGGCTGGGGGCTCTGGGAAACTGAGGCAGGGCGAAGGCTCCTCTTTAAACCCAGATTTAAAAAAAAATTTTAAATTTATTCTTTTTAGTAGAATTATTTTTATTTTAAGTTGGACACGATACCTTTATTCTATTTATTTTTATGTGGTGCTGAGAATCGAACCCAGTGCTTCCCACTTGCTAGGCAAGTGCTCTACCGCTGAGCCACAATGCCAGCCCTAGTAGAATGAATATATATATATATATATATATATATGTATATATATATATAAATTTTTTTGGATGTTGATGGACCTTTATTTTATTCATTTATTTATAAGCGGTGCTGAGAATCGAATCCAGTGCCTCGCACATGCTAGGCAAGCAATCTGCCACTGAATCACAGCCCCAGCCCCCCAGTAGAATATATTTTGACATACATACCAAACCCTGATTCTTGTTGAGTCAAAAAAAATTCAGACACGCTGTTTAAGAGTTACAGGCATGAGTTTATTAGAAGGAATAAGGAAGGAGAAAGGGGACACTTTTAAGGGAGAGAGTGTCCTCTCGGAGAGGAGAGACAATGCACACTCTCCTGCCTCCAATTTTAGAACTTTATTTTATGTTCAAAGAATTAGCATGTTCTCCTTCACTGGGTAATCCATTCGAAGAAGATCACTTAGTCCAACCTAATGAAGCCTATATCCTTCGCGTTCTGATGGAAATACTGCCGGCACACGTTAAGGCCATATTTCTGTTTGAACACACGCAGCAAGAGCGAGACCAAATTTTTGCAGGTGGCTCCAGTAGAACTGTTGGTGACCCATCTTTCTTTCAAGGGTGCCACCTTTTTTTTTTTTTTTTAATAAGCTTTGTGGGTACTTTATTTATTGGTAGAATAAGAACCCGGGGTACTTTACCACTGAGCTACATTCCCAGTGTTTTTATTTTTTATTTTGAGACAAGGTCTTGGTAAGTGCTGAGCTGGTTTTGAACTTGGCATCCTCCTGTCTCAGCCTTTGGAGTGCTGGGATTGTAGGTGTGCACCACTGTGCCCAGCTCACCTTTTGACTTTTGACTGACAGCAGGATGACATCAGTCTTTCAAGTCCACTCTACCATGACCACTTTGGCCTATGCTAACCTGTTATAATTGGAACTTGTTCTTTCAGACTTTATGGTTGAGGGTAATTATCATTGTCTCACTGAGTTCTGAGATTTGGTCTTTGTAAAGGTCACAAAGCCCTGGTCCTTCAAGTGGCTTATGTTCTTATCAGCATTTCCAGCCTGCATTTCTCCTGCAGATAACAGGTAGTTTTCTGAAGAATGCAACATATTCTGTCTACTTAAGCAAAGTAGGGTTGCAGGTAAATTGCTTTTTAAAAGTGAAAGCATGTGGGGATCAGCACATTGGGATCAATTTATAGATTTATTCCTTTAATGTCATGTTTCCACCACTCATGTCTGTCTGTCCCTATTACTACTTCTGAGTAATAGCCCATCCCTTTTTATTTAAAAATTTTTTGAGATAGGGTCTCACTGAGTTGCCCATTCAAGGATGACTTTGAATTTGCGATTTTCCTACCTCAGTCATAGAGTCACTGGGATTACAGGTGTATGCCACCACACACCCAGTTCTTTGGCAGTTTCATACCTTTTCACAGTCTTTTGTATTTGGCACCTCTCTCTGTATGGTATATTGGACTAGTAGTTCTCTTCCTGTTGTTAGCCTTTATCTTCAGATTATTATTATTTTTTTCTCCCAGTGCTGGACATTAAATCCAGGGGCATTCTAACATCCCCAGGCCTTTTTATGTGACAGTGTCTTGTTAAGTTGCCCAGGCTGGCCTTGAACTTGTGATCCTCCTGCTTCAACCTTCCCAGTGGCTAGGGTTACAAGGATGTGTCACAAAGTCCAGCTCCTCAGATTCTGAGCTTGTGTTCTTTTTGTTTCTTTTTCATTTTATCCTAGGAAGAATATCAAGGCACAACCAATATCTTGGTGACCTTATAGAAACATGCAGTTGTGGTAACATAAGACAGTTTTGGCATATCCCAGATGTGTCTTCTGTAGAGGTCAGATATCTCATATCTTAGTTGCACAGTTGCATTATTGTCTCTTGACATGATGTACATGAAATTATGATATTTTATGATATCTTCTTTGTTCTTGTGTTTTGCACTTATATATTTTCCCCTTATCTTGGGGATCTGATATATTCTTAGTGATGATATGAGTATGTAAAGTGTCAGAAGCTTATGGCAAGAGAAGTTCAAAGAGGAGCTCTTGCAAGCTTAATACATTGAAGGGATTCTCATTTCTCCATGAGATCATAGCTTTGCAAAATATTATTAGAAGGTCTAGATTCAAGGCATGCCAATTGTAGGAGAGTAGATACTTCAGCTCTTGAGGAAAGTTATCTAAATGTTCTGGGCAGCAGTGACCAATCTGGGCTATCAATATCATCAGTTCTTTAAATTCTTTCCTGGGTTATTTGGTTGTAATTTGAAAATCTTCATATTGGATTTGTAGTGAATGTTATATTGCTGTAGAAACACTTTAGGCCAGCAAATCTACTTTATTAGACTCTAACTGCTGAAGGTGGCAGGGTGGCTAGTTTTTGTTTCTGCTGGACATGTTGGTTGCCAGCTGGCTGCTGGAGGTTGCTGGGTGACTAGTTTTAGTTTTTGCTGGACTTGTTGGTTGCCAGCTGAATCTGCAGAGAGAGAACACTTCTCAGAAAACTCACACCTCTGACACTTGCCAACACTTTTTAATTATGGCATGAGCTGTGCTTCTGAATGTGACCAGAAACAGTACTGGGGAGCTTGGCAGGTGGTCTCATCTTGGCTCATAGTAGTTGTGTTTTTAAAAATTAATATTCATGGGTAACTTTCCAGTTAGTAAATCTGCATAGATTCTTCTTTTCTTTTGTGTGTGTATGTATTTTCTTTTGGTGGTACAAGAATGGATAATTCAGGGCCTTATGTGTGCTAAGCATGTACTTTACCACTGAGCTATATCCCCAGCCCTTACTCTTATAGTTGGATTTTGTTGAATGGATGTGTTGTAATTTACTAGTGTTCTTATTGGATATCTAGATTGTTTAAATGTGTCATATATTGTCCTTATTCATTATAGATACAATTATTGCATGCTAATTTCCTCTTTATGGTCATTTTCTAATAGCCTAATTACTGGATCAAAATACACATTCATCTTATATTACCAGATGGCCACCCAGAAAGGTCATAGCTGTGTACACTCTTAATAGAAATGTGGGTGATATCTAGTTTTTCCATGCCATTGCTCGTTTTTTTTTTTTTTTTCTTCTAAAATCTGATAGGCAGTGAAAATTTGCATCATACTCTAACTGGGAAATAGGCCTTTTTCTTTTTTGTGATATTGGGGGTTGGACTCAAAGGGCATTCTCCCTCTGAGCTATATCCTTAGCCCTTTTTAAAACTTTCATTTTGAGACACATCTTGTTAAATTGCCCAGGCTGACCTCCAACTTCGATTTTCCTGCCTTAGCCTCAGTAGTGGCTGTAATTACAGGGGTGCACCGTCATACCTGGCTTCCCCCCTCCACCCCAAATATAAGGGTTTGAACTCAGGGGTGCTTTACTGCTGAGCTATACCCCCAGCCTTATTTTTTGAGATAGGATCTTTCTGAGTTGCTTGGGTCCTCACTAAGTTGTTCAGGCTGATCTTGAACTTGTGATTCTCCTACGCGAGCCTCCTGAATTTCTGGGATTTCAGGCATGCATGCGCCACCAACTGAAGGGCTTTTAGATGAAGCTACTCCACCTTTTGTGTTCACTTGGCTCTTGAAAGCACATAACACCACCCCTGATAAAAAAGAATTTGGGTGTCTGCCTACTAGACTAAACAGTCACATGCTACTAAATGATAGAGATGTGTTCTGAGATATGTGTCTTGAGGTGATTCGTTGTCTGAACATCATAGAGTGTACTCACAAACCAAATGGTACAGGTCAGTCACTTGACATGGCCTCTTGATGTAGTTAAGTGATTCAGTAAATACAAACTATATGAGGCTGATGCTGGTGTAATATGGTATATTGTCTTACAGTAAAAATAAGTAGGAATATATTCTAAAATGAGAAAAAAGAATAGTAAATACATTAATACAAGACCTCATGAGTACTAGGTAAACATTCTACCACTGAACTACACCCCCCCCCAGCCCTGTGCATTAAACTGCATGTTGTGATTCAGGGGGTTGTGAAATCATTTTAGGGATTAAAATAGAAAAGATAAATATCAGATTTATTGCAAACAATAAAGATAAATTGTGAAATTTTTATTAACAGTACCTGCATTTATCTGTGCTTATTAAGTTTGAAATCAAATTCTCTAGAGTAAATTACCTGGAAGTGCAGTTATTGATTAGGCTGAAGATTTTGGCAATTGTGGGAATTTTTATTTATTTTTTTTTTATATTTTTGTTTCTTTCTTTTTGAGAGAGAGAGAGAGAGAATGTTTTAATATTCATTTTTATTTTAGTTCTCGGCGGACACAACATCTTTGTTGGTATGTGGTGCTGAGGATCAAACCCGGGCAGCACGCATGCCAGGCGAGCGCGCTACTGCTTGAGCCACACAGCCCTGTGGGAATTTTTAACTGTGTTGGTGGGGACAAGTGCATGGAGTACTTACTGCATACATGGCATACGTTACGGGCGTCTGAGTGGCAAACCACTTCACAGTACTCCATGCACTTGTCCCTGCAGTGTTGGATATTGTTAGATTGCTTTCCAAATTCATATTATTTTGCATTTTAAAAAATGCAACAGTATATGAGGTTTTCCAGAACCTTGTGATTCATGGCATAGTCAAATTTTTTTAAAATGTTTAAATTAGATGAGAGTGAATTTGTTTTGCATTGTCTTAATTTTTATTTTTCTTGATTAATTATGAGATTGAGCAGTTTTCAAATGTGTGACTGTTTAGTTTTCTGTTTTTTCAAATTGGATGCTCTTTTCATAGCCAGTTGGATTGTCCTTTTAAATTGATTTTAATTTATTACATATTCTGATAATATCTGTTAATTGAATTGCAGATATCTTTTTTCTGTGGCTTATTAACTTTTTATGTGTGATTTACTGCCACAGTCTGGCTGGGCACAAAATAACCGAGCCACCACGAAGCCTTGTAGATTCAAACAGCAACTCTTTATTCCCGAACTCTCCTGGACACTCTGCCCACACTTCCTGTGAACACACTGCCTCTACCTGGCTCGGTGCACCAATTCTCTCAGAACCCTGCAAGAACTCAACGGGAACTCCAAAGAGTGGGCGCCGTGAGGCAGCAGGATATGCCCTAATCCTGGAGCCGCCCTATTCCCAGCAGGGTCCACCCTAAACCTGGAGCCACCCTAAGCCCTGAGCAGGGTCACCTTTCAACCTAAAAATGCCATGCATCATTCCTACTTGGATATGGCTCTCAGCAATTTACTTTCTTGAATAGAAATGATTATCAGATTTCTCACTTTTTCCTTATTGGTTTGTATCCTTTGTGTTTTATTTATTTATTTTTTGGTACCAGCATTGAACTCAGGGGTGCTTAACTACTGAGCTGCATACCCCACCCTTTTTTATTTTTATTTTGAGACAGTAAGTTGCTGAGACTGGCTTTGAATTTGGCAATCCTCTCTCTCTCAGCCTCCCAGGTTGCTGAGATTACAGGTGTGTTTTATGTTTTGAGATCTTTTTCATATTCCATTGTCGCTGTTTCTGGCATATTTTTAAAAACATTTTTTATAGTTGGAGATGGACATCATACCTTTATTTCGTTTATTTATGTT